ATATTTTCGCATCAATGTTCATTAGTGATATTGGTCTATAATTTTCTTTTCTTGTTGGGTCTTTTCCTGGTTTGGGTATCAAGGTATTGTTTGCTTCATAGAATGTGTTGGCTGGTATTCCATCTTTTTCTATATTTTGGAAAAGGTTGAGTAGTATGGGAACTATTTCCTCTTTAAAGGTTTGGTAGAATTCTGATGTGAAGCCATCTGGTCCTGGCCTTTCTTTTTAGGGAGACTTTGTATAGTTGATGCTATTTCAGAACTTGACATAGGTCTATTCAAAATTTCCACTTCATTCTGGCTGAGTCTTGGGCGGTGGCGTGCTTCCAAGTATTGGTTGATTTCCTTCAGATTGTCATATTTCTGGGAATAAAGTGTCTTGTAATATTCATTAAGGATTTTTTGAATTTCTAGGGGGTCTGTTGTTATTTCATCTTTACCATTTCTAATTGATGAGATTAGAGATTTTACTCTTCTTTGCATTTCTGTCTCATCCTGCTGGCTAGACAAATGCACTCGAAGCTCCCTTTTACTAGTGTGACAAAATGAAGAGTTCTAAGATGAGATGGGCTATCACTGCACACGTCCAGATAGATGAAGAGATTCCCTTGGGCATGAGTTGAGATATCTCTGGATCTTGGCAGGACTGAGATCCAGAACTTACATGTTATACTATTTAGAATGAAGGAGATCTTGGGAAGCAGTGGCTTTTGGGGCTGCCAACATTTCTAATAATTTCTAGTTATTGGGATCACAGCACAGAGCCACTTGCTCTGATGAGGCAAAGTGGGTGGATCCAATGGTAACCTCAGAAATATACCCTTTGGACCAAGTACCAATTAGTTCACCAGTATTCTTTTTCACTTAGCACCTTGGAAGGTGCTGGGTCTGTCCTGGCCCATACAAGGGTTGTAAAGAACAAAAATTGCTTGGGACAAGTTTCATCACCCCTAATGAAAGCTTGCTCAGTTAGAAAGTATAGTATTTTGTTTTTCTCATGACTTATATTGTATACTATAATATAAACTAAAGTATACCTTATCATATGCAAACCCAGCACAGTCACCATTGATTCTATGAGGCATCATATAGTAGACATTGGGGAAAGACAGAAGAGGAGGAGAAACACTTGGCACATTCAAGGGAGTCTGGATCCAGGACTCTGGCAGGTGGGGCCTGTCTCCCTACAATTAGCACAACGGAGATACAGTTGCATTCAAGCAATTCACTGTGTACCTTTTGAAAATCAGGTCATAAATAAGGGGTAGAGTTCAGTTGTGATATTGAATTAGGCACTATATACTTTAGAGCCTAGTGCATTGTGAGTATAGCACATGATAGGGTGTTCAGGGCCAGAATCTACAACCAACCTCAATCTACAGAATCAACAATCACATGCACTTTTACCAGCCTTTACTTAGTTCCCAGGACAGACTCTGGGTTAAAATCCACCCAGGTGCCTTTACATGTTCAGGGTCTTGTAGCCAGAGAGAAGCCCAGATGTAGCTGGTGTGGTTCTTGCTACTCAGCAAGTGTTCAGGAAGCAGCTACAGCAGCACCACCTGGGTACCCAGGTTAGAAACCCAGATACTGAGGCCAGCCCAGTGCCGTGGAATCAGAATCTTCATTTTCGAAAGAACCAGGGTCATCTAACAAACACCAAGCCTGGAAAGCCACAGTCTAGGTTGGTGCTCCCATTACAGAAACATGATGCCACCATGAGTGTAATTTTAGCACTTTATCAAACATAAAGAGAAACCGATAAATTAATTTGAATGTTTTATTTGACCCAATTCATTAAAAATATTACCATTTTCCTATGTGGCTATAGCCACATTTCAAGTGCTAAATAGCCATAGTGGCTTTCATTTTGGACAGCACAGATATAGGGCAGGACCTAAATATTATAGTTCCTTCCAAATTTCCAGGTGATTCTAATCTATACTCAGGGCAGAGAACTAGTATTGTTTGGGGAGTGTTAGGTACCAGAAGTCATCTAACTCCTATATTTAATGGAGAGCCTTTTGCACTTTCTGTTTTCTGGGGACTTAATGGGAAGGGCTGGATAGGACACATCCTCACCTTGAACTCAGCATCCTTGGGTTCAGGTGGTTTTCAATATCAAGGAAGTGAAGCACCCTTGAGACTGCTCCACACCTGGTGGCCCTACGTGCACACATTGTACCTGGCACTGAGTTGGCCTCAGTCAGCATTTGCCATATCAATTACTCCAGTCTTTTGTTGTTGTTGTTGTTGTTGTTGTTGTTGTTGCAGTTTGGCCAAGGCTGGGTTTGAACCCACAACTCTCAGTTTATGGGGCTGGAGCCTTACTCACTGAGCCACAGGCACCACCCTAATTACTCCACTCTTGAAAGCTCACTCTTTTATATTTACCTTTTGTACAAAGCTAAGATGTAAAAAAGAAATGATTGGCCTCATTTCCATGAGATTCTTCTGTTTCCTCCAGCCCCTTCTGAAGGTAGCTCAGATGTGGAGTGAGATCCACCTGCCAGGGGCTTTTACATAGAGGGTCCTTCCTATGGTATTATCATCTTGCCTCTTAATTCAATCAGAGCCTCATTTAAACCTGCCATAAATAAGTTTTAGCTGGGGCAGCACCTGTGGCTCAAAGGAGTAGGGCGCCAGCCCCATATGCCAGAGGTGTCAGGTTCAAACCCAGCCCTGGCCAAAATAAATAATAAGTCTTTGCTGAAGATGCATAGAAGTAATATATGCAAAATAGAGCAATTTATCCCAAAGTGGTTGTATTTTTATTAACATACAAATATACCCCTTTTTCTAGATTAGCTCTTGAATATCATGTCTGTATATGACAGTGGTTCTCAACCTTCCTAATGTCTCCTTATGACACGACCCTTTAATACAGTTCTTCACGTTGTGTGACCCCCAACCATAAAATTAGTTTCATTGCTACTTCATAACGGTAATTTTGCTACTGTTATGAATCGTAATGTATATATCTGATATGCATCCAAAATAGGATGTATTTTTATTGTTACAAAGGGGTTGTGACACACAAGTTAAGAACTGCTGGTATATGAGAAGATTTGAAATTTGGAAAGTAACTTTTAAAATAAAATGTTTGGCCTCCTTATTAATCTTTATGCAATGAATGGAGTTGGTTTCAAATACTTTTGCTCATAAAGTAAAACCACCTCATATTTCAATTTGGGGTGAAATGACATCTTCACATGGGCTTTTTCTCCATGATTGTGAAGAGCCATGTTTAGAAGTTTGGTAATAAACAAAATAAACAAAAACAAAAAATGAAAAAAAAAAATTTAAACCCACACTGTTCCAAGATAATTAGTTGGTCATTCAAGGTCCTGGTTTTTGTTTTTGTTTTTCTCTTTATTTGTTATAACCCTATCAAAAATTAAAGTATTTTCATAATCTATTTTCTTATATCACAACTTATATAAAATGATTTTTTTAACCTTCAAAAAGTCTCCTCATGGTTTCTCTTTTGACACACACAGTTGAGAAGGAGACATGGACTCCACTTTTATGCAAATAGAAATTTACTACACCTGTAGGGGGTCATTGCCCTTGGAGGCAGGTGACCTCGAATGACAGATCAAATGGGTCTTTATACCCTATTTTTGCATCACAGCAAGCAGGCAGAGGTACAGAAGCTGAATCATTGCGGTTAGCCTTGGGTGGGGGGAATTGCATAGTAGAAGGGGAGGCAGGGGTACGTCAAGCCTCTCCTCCCTATACACTTTCTTATCTCAAGTTTCTCCTCAAAGTTCTTCCCCCTCCCTACACACTCCCTTATCTTCAGGCCTCTTCTCAGAGTTCTTCTCACCCTTGAGGGGGCTGGACCTAATGGATTCAAAGGAAATTTCTTTTTTAAGGGTAGGGGACTTTGTTATCACAGTTTCATTTTTATTTCATTTTTTTAGAGGCAGAGTATTGCTCCATCACCAGTCTGGAGTGCACTAACTAGATCATAGCCCACTGCAGTCCCAAACTCCTAAGCCCAAGTAATCCCCCTGCCTCAGCTTCCTGAGTACCTGGAACTATAGGCACTCACCACTGTGACCAACTAATTTCTTTATACTTTTTATAGAGATGGGGCCTTGCTATGATGTCCAGTCTACTCTCAAATCTTGGCTTCAACCATTCCTTTTTCTAATTTTTGTAGAAACAGCGTCTTGATTTTGCTCAAGCTGTTCTCAAACTCCTGACCTTAAGCAATCCTCCCATCTGGCCTCCCAGACTGCTAGAACCATCGAGAACTAAAAAGAAGACTTTCCACAACCACAGCTTAGTGAAGCCCGTCTGCACTGACAGGGATAACCTCTTAATCCACAGAGTGCACTGTTTTGACATGTGATCCTGCTCGTCTGTTTCTTCCTCCCTTCCTTTTTCTCTTGTGCTGTGCTCTGATAGACCTGGTGGCCATTGAGAGAGCATGCCAGTTGCCAGTTAAAAGAAAACAGGACTTGAGAATTGGGAATGTTTTGCTTAGATTAAAAATCATCAGAGTAACAAGCAATAACCAAAATGATTCCCCAGGAAAAGGGAGAACTTAATTCAATGACTTAAATATAGACCCTAATCCCATCCCAGCCCACCCCCAGGAGTTATGGTTTTGCATTTTCACTCAGCAAACTCAATCATCCTCGAGTCTCTAACACCACAGTGGATCATGTTGGGGTAGGCTGGGTGTGGTGGTTCACGCCCTACAATCCTAGCACACTGGGAGGCTGAGGCAAGAGAATCACTTGAGCCCAAGAGTTTGAGGTTGCTGTGAGCTATGATGCCACAGCACTCTCCCAAGGGGGACTAAGTGAGACTCTGTCTAAAAAAAAAAAAAAAAAAATGTATATATATATATATATATTCTAATTAAATTGTCTGATTACTACTTAGCACTCAATTTATACACTAGATTAATTACATTCATGAAATGTTCCACATTTTCCTGCTATGACTTTTGTATAATACTTTTACCAAATAGAAAGTGCCTAGGCCTAATCAAAGTAACTTTCTGTGCATGTTTTTTGCTGTGGGGGGGAATATTCATGCTCCCCAGGATGGGCTGGAGGATCAGCAAGGCCTGGGCTCATCACAGGACAGATTCTAATGACACCCTGATCATCATTAGGTGGAACTGAAGGAGCAAAAAATGGGCACAGTGGCTCCTCAACAGAAACTCTGGTGAATGTAAAGATGTGGGATCCATTGTCAACATCAAAAAAGGAAATGTTTCCCATATCCATATCCAGAAAAATCCCTAATCTCTGTAGCTTGGTATCTGAGCAGAGGGCAGTCTGAGGCATCGTGCTGGCAGAAAAGTAGCCTCCACCCCTCAGACCCACAGTCCAGAATCCAAGATCTGTGGTCAGTTGGATCTTTCCTTTCCAGTGAACAGATTCTTTACAAACTCCCAGGTCCCATTGTGTGCTCATTCCCACGTCCACCTGCCAGTAATGGCAGCCAGAAGTGAAGTGAGGGGAACCCAGGACACAAAGTGGCAACTGCAAACTCTCAGCAAGGTCCTGCTGACTCTTTTTGATGCGCACACAACGGACACTCCTGAGATCATCAGAAATGAGGAGGAACTTGTTGGCTGTGTCAACATCCAAGGTCACATCCACTGCAAAAATAAAAACAAATTATCTCTACAAATGCAGAAAATCCAGGCTGATGTTTCATGGCTAATACAAAGTCCCAAATATCTCATTGGCTTTAGGTTCTTTAATCTGCTTTTTACTGACATCAGAACTTTTCAGGACAGAACTTCCCTGGCTGCCCTGACTAGATCAAATTAGCATAGGCATGCTCTGTAGCAATATGAGACTCACTCATAATAGTAGTGCCTTTTTTCTCTATGTGATGTGTTTATTAATTAAACTTTTGTTCCCTGCATAGTGGAGGATCTCTGAAGTTAGACAACATGACCCTCCCACCACACTAATGAATGAAAAAGAATGATATTAAGAAAATTCCAGTTAACAATATTTAATGATGTTTCTGTTTCCACATTTTACTATTCCAATTCAAAAGAGAACTAAAAGTAGACCTGCCATTCAATCCTGCAGTTCCTGTACTAGGTATGTATCCAGTTTACCAAAAATCACTTTACAACAAAGACATTTGCACAAGAATTTTTACTGTAGCCCAATTCATAATTTCCAAGTCACAGAAGCAGCCCAAGTGTCCATCAACCAATGAATGGATTAACAAATTGCAGTATATGTATACCATGGAATATTATGCAGCCATAAAAAATATGGAGATTTTCCCTCTTTTATGTTTACCTGGATGGAACTAGAGCTTATTCTTCTTAGTAAAGTATCTCAAGAATGGGGAAAAAATCCCAAAATACTAAATACTATTATGAAATCAATATATAATCACCCACACTTTCATACACAAGATAAAACACAATTATAGCCCAGAAAGGAGAGAAGAGGAGGGCAAGGGGAGGGAAGTGGGGTGGACAAGTGGAGGGAGGATAATCAGTGGGACCTCACCTACTGTGCATATTGCAAGCATACATGTCAAATGTATTAATAGTAGAGTATAAATGTCTAAACACAATTAAATAAGTGAGGTGAATGCTATGTTAACTAGTTTGATGTAAACATTCCAAATGATATATAAAATCAGAACATTATACCCCATAAATGCAGTAATGTACATAGTTATGATCTAATAAAAAAAAATAGTATCTATACCAGGATTCCAGACTTTCGTTCTCCATGTTTCTAAACAAATTGGTTTAGATATGGTTCACAGTTCTGACTGGAGATGGTATATCTCTGCAGATGAAAATATGGTAACAGAAGTACCATTCCTGGACATTAAAAGGACCCATGGCCACAGCAAGGAATGGGGACCTAGATGGGAGACTATTTTCCATACTGTGGGAGCTGAAGCCTTAAGCAAAACATTGGTAATGGGCACAGATTTAAGAAAGAAACAAACAGAATGGTATTTAAAAGATAGTAGACATAATTTATTTATTGTCTGGTGTAAGTGCAGCAGATGAAAATGAATGAACATTTTGAGGTGTGGGTATGTGACTGAAAGGTGAAGCTGCCAATTTTAATGGAGGAAGAAAAGAAAGGGTGTTATCTGGCCTACAGAATTTAATAGACTAGAAAATTCTGGGGGAAAAAAAACACCTCAGAACTCATTATCTTTCAAGTCAAAAGATAAATGCAAAATGCAATCACCAATGTAGATTTCATAGGTTAAAATAAGACATCAGGTAACTGACCTCTGATGATGAATTAGTGGATGAAATAAGATGAACGGACATTGACAAGGAAGGAGGAAGAGTATTAGAATATTGGCTTGCACAGAGTGAATCTGTGCTCTATGTTTCAAGCAGAAGGCCAGATGTTGGTAAGTAAATGACTGGAAATTGTGGGTATCAGGCAGGATACTGTGCAGAAGCCAACAGTGTGGGGAATTTCACAGGAACCCATCTTTCTTTATTATAGGCAAAATGCCTGTATGCCTCTGGCCAAAAAAGCTGTTTGAGAGAGAGCAGTGAAAAAACTTTATGCAAGCATACTTGTAAGAAACTTAGGCAGAATCCCATGTGGCCAGGTTGGTTGTGAGCCTAACATGACCAAGGCTTCGGCTGGAATAGCATTTACTGTGTTAAGGAATTAAGGTTGACTTTCTAAGGCCAATAAAAAAGCCCTTTGGACAACTGGCCAGATACCCATCAGTAGCCTTTTCTGATCTGTGGTAAGTAAGGAAGGTCACTTGCTGAGGGGTCCGGGAATGGAAATATGCTCGGGGACCTCAAGAGAGGAGGAATTTACCCAATGCATACAGGAACTAATGGCACACATGAAACTTGTGCTCGTGAAAGGCTTTTGAAAAGTCCAGCCTGAAAATTCCTTATAAAATGTTCCAGCAAAACCCCCCTGACTTCAGGCCTACATGGGAGCAGAGGTTTGCACACAAATTCCTGTATGCCCAAGAAGTTTCTTTATGCCTTGTTTATAGATCCAAAGTAACAGCCTCCAAAAGGCAAGGCCAGCAAGGGCAGGTATTCAATCTACCTTGATACTCTATAGCCTCGGGCATCATCAGATAAGAACAAAGAAGTAATGGCTAACAACATGTTTTCCATTAAGTTATGTTAAATTGGGTTATGTTGAAAGGGTTATGTCAAAAGGTGTATGTGAAGTGGATTATCGGAAGCTAATCACAAGGTAGTTCCATAATATTTAAATGGATCAATGAGGTCATTGCGCATGTACAAAATTCCCTATATAAACCAACCACAAATAAAGACGCTCACCATTTTGCCTGAGCGAGCAGATGGTCACCTTTATTTAAAACACAATTTCAATAAGCCTGCTTATTACTCCACGACATGGCTTTTCCATGAGACCCATACAGCAACACTTTATAGATGTAATTCTTAGCCCAGGCAGACCATAATCTCTTCATTTAAATGTCCTTTCCCTCCAGAGTCATGGTGTCAGATAGTATTTCTGTAGCAAAGGCCCCTATTGAAGCCCATGGTGTATAGATGAGGAGACCAGAGTCTGCAGCTCTCCCCACACCCACTGAAACACTCCCCACCTTCCCCACCCCTGGTGCTCCATACCAAAGTCTTCCCAAGGCTGGGAAAAGCCCATTTAGTGCAATGGTGCCAACATTCACTGTTTACTAGAATTACCAGGGGGTATTAACATTAGACTCAGGGGTACTACAGCCAGAGAGAAATTTGGATTCAATTGATCAAAGTTTTGCTACTCTAAGAGTGATATGGTCCCCCAATACAGCAGTATCATCAATTCTGAAATCTCCTAGTTCAGAATCCAAATTCCAACAAGATCCCCAGGTAATCTGAACATGCTACATTTTGAGACTTTCTTGTCTAATCCATGACATAGACATAGGAATGTTTTGTTAAAGATCAGATGATTCTATTGTCAGGGCTGAGAACCACTGAAGTCAGAGGAGTATCTCATTTTTAGGCATCAGCTGATCCCCACATGGAAAGGAGAGCCCATCCCACAGATGAGTCTTTCTGTACCTGTAGTGGGAAGGGAGCAGGGTGCACAGAGGCCTTACCTTGGAACTTCTGCATCCTTGGGTTCATCTGTAGAATAGTTGTCAGATGGGGCTCCAGCTCCTTGATCTTGGAAACCAGCTTCCCCAGCTGCCAGTAGGGTCTGAGGTTGTTTTTCCGAGAGATCATGGGGCACAAATAGCAAAATAAATACTCCCCATGTGGCTCCATTTGCAGTGAATAGATACAGTTAAGGCAGAAAATGCATTCACATTCCAGGTATATTGGCTTTTCAAGATAGGCTGAGCAGATGGGGCATTTGCTTGCTTCTTGTAACAGTCCAGCCATGTCCACTGTTGGGGGAACACACATGGGAGGTGAATTTCAATGAGATGAATGCTTATTAATGGCACATAACAACCTTTACATGCACCAAGTTATTGTGTTTCAAATTTCTCATCCCCAGAACAAGACCATGACAGTACAACGACCCAACTACATGCCCTACCATCAGGCACTTGAAGTTCTCTTTGGAAAGAAAGTCACAAATGGACATTGTGCTTTGAACTGTGGTGGAGGAAGGGCCCATGAAACCCTTCTCCCCACCCCAGCTGCACCAACAGAGATGCCTGAACATGTTACATGGTTAACATCTATCTGAAAAGTGGGTATTGCACCTCAATGCTGGTGTCATTTCACCTGGAGAAACCTAAGCAACAAATTGATTATGTAAATGAGAAATTCATCTTTTCTGCAGCCTTAGAACTGAAAACCAGACTACCCACCACTCCATAGGCATCCAGTGCGTCTGGTTGTCAACACTGACTGGGCACTTGGATAGCATTTGTTGAATTTATTAATCACTAACTTTATTTCTTTCATTCCCCTATGTCATAACCACTATTTCTGGGCTTCTAAGAAGAAAAAGCCAAACACATAAGGGTGGACTCACTTCCTCAGCACTAGAATCTCCTCTGTCCTCCAGCTGCTCCCACAGGTAGTCGGAAGTCTTCTGGGGAATGAGCACACCAGGGCCTTTTTATGGTTGAGATTATCCTTCCCTCCCTCATCACACCCTGTCATGCCCCCTTAACCTAATCATATTTTGATTTCATTATAATAGATAATGGGGTTTTCATTGGTGATCTATCTCCAGTTATCTGTAACCTTAGTAAAATCCTTCATCATGACAGTAAAGGCCAGGCACAGTAGCTCACACCTGTAATCCCAGAACTCTGGGAGGTTGAGATAGAAGGGTTGCTTGAACTCAGGATTTTAAGACTAGCCTGAGCAAGAGGGAGCCCACATCTCTACAAAAATAGAAAATATTAGCCAGGCATGGTGGTAGGTGCCTGTAGGCCCAGATACCTGGGTGGCTGATGCTGGAGGATTGCTTGAAACCAGGAGTTTGAGCTTGCTGTGAACTAGGCTGATGCCACTGCACTCTAGCCTGGGCAACAGAGTGAGATTCTGTCACAAAATTAAAAAATTAAAAAATTAAACCCACTGCTACCAATCATTACATTATTTTTTTTTCTTTAACATGAAGGTAATATTTAATTACCATTACATTAAATTAAACTAATGTACTAATTTCACAGCCTTATTATAAGATTTTTTCATCATTTATAAGTGGTGATGTTTCTTCTGATATAAATGATACACTTAAAGCTTTGCTTATAATCCTAAAATAAAACTATTCTCTATGATTGCATTTGTAATTTTATAATACAGTATAAATTCATACACATCAGAATTATAGGTAATTGGTGCCTGCAACCCATTGGGAAACTTTGATTGTTTTATTTACTTCCTTTTGTTCATCTCAGGATTGGAAAAAATTTGATAATTCACAGGAATAATCTTTTTTCTTTTTTTTATTGTTGGGGATTCATTGAGGGTACAAGAAATCAGGTTACATTGATGGCATTTGTTAGGTAAAGTCCCTCTTACAATTGTGTCTTCCCCCAAAAGTTGTGTCACACATCAAGACCCCATGCCCCTCCCTCCTTCCCTTTTTCTGCTCTTCCTTCATTCTCTCTCTGCTCTCCCCTTCCCCCATCCCCCACCATGTTATTAATTGTCACTAATTGTCCTCATATCAAAATTGAATACATATAACTCATGCTTCTCCACTCTTGTGATGCTTTACTAAGAATAATGTGTTCCACTTCCATCCAGGTTAATATAAAGGCTATAAAGTCTCCTTTTTTTTTTTTCTTTTTTTTTTTTTTTTGCAGTTTTTTGGCCAGGGCTGGCACCCTACTCCTTGAACCCACAGGCGCCACCCAAGTCTCCATTTTTTTAATAGCTGAATAGTATTCCATGGTATACATATACCACAGCTTGTTAATCCATTCCTGGGTTGGTGGGCATTTAAACTGTTTCCACATTTTTGGCAATTGTAAATTGAGCTGTGATAAACAGGCTATTGCAAGCGTCCTTAAGATAAAAGGATTTTTTTCCTTCTGTGGAGAGGCCCAGTAATGGGATTACAGGATTAAACAGGAGGTCTAGGTTGAGTTCTTTGAGGTTTCTCCATACTTCTTACAAAAAGGTTGTATTAGTGTGCAGTCCCACAAGCAGTGTAAAAGTGTTCCCTTCTCTCCACATCCATGCCAGCATCACCAGTTTTGAGATTTTGTGATGTGGGCCATTCTCACTGGGGTTAGATGGTATCTCAGGGTGGTTTTGATTTGCATTTCTCTAATAATTAGGGATGATCAGCATTTTTTTCATATGTTTGCTAACCATTTGTCTGTTTTCTTTAGAGAAGATTCTATTCATCTCCCTTGCCCATTGATATATGGGATTGTTGGCTTTTTTTCATGTGGATTAATTTGAGTTCTCTATAGATCTTAGTTATCAAGCTTTTGTCTGATGCAATATAGGCAGATATCCTTTCCCATTGTGTAGGTTATCTATTTGCTTTGGTTGTTGTCTCCTCAGCTGTACAGAAGCTTTTCAGTTTCATTAAGTCCCATTTGTTTATTTTTGTTGTTGTTGCTATTGGCACAGAAGTCTTCTTCATGAAGTCTTTCCCCTGGCCAACATCTTCCAGTGTTTTTCCTATGCTTTCCTTGAGGATTTTTATTGTTTCAAGCCTTAAATTTAAGTCCTTTATCCATCTTGAATCAATTTTTGTAAGTGGAGAAAGTCGTGGGTCCAGTTTTAGTCTTTTACATGTGGATATCCAGTTCTCTCAGCACCATTTATTGAGGAGGGAGTTTTTCCCCTAGTGTATGTTCTTGTTTGGCTTACCAAAGATTAGGTGGTTGTATGATGTTAGTTTCATTTCCTGTTTTCTATTTGATTCCAAATGTCTATGCCTTTTTTTTTGTGCCAGTACCATGCTGCCTTCACCACTATGGCTAAAATCTGGTATGCTGATACCCCTGACTTTGTTTTTATTACTAAGAACTGCCTTAGCCATACATGGTTTTTTCTGGTTCCATACACAACTCAGAATCATTTTTTCCAAGTCTTGAAAGTACAATGCTGGTATTATAGTAGGGATAGCATTGAATCGGTACATTGCTTTGGGAAGTATAGACATTTTAACAATGCTGACTCTTTCCAGCCATGAGCATGGTATGTTCTTCCATTTGTTAAAGTCCTCTACTATTTCCTTTCTTAGGGTTTGGTAATTTTCTTTACAGAGGTCCTTCGCCTCTTTTGTTCCTAGGTATATTCCTAGGTATTTCATTTTCTTTGAAGCTATGGTGAAGGGAGTTGTGTCCTTAATTAGCCTCTCATCTTGGCTGTTACTAGAGTATACAAAGGCTACTGACTAGTGGACATTGATTTTATATCCTGAGATATTACTGTATTTTTTGATGACTTTCAGAAGTCTTGTGATTGAGTCTTTGGGTTTCTCTAAGTATAAAATCATATTGTCAGCAAAGAGGGAGAGTTTGACCTCCTCTGCTCCCATTTGGATGCCCTTTATTTCCTTGTCTTGCCTAATTGTATCAGCTAGAACTTCCATCACTATGTTGAATAGTAATGGTGACAGAGGACAACCTTGTCTGGTTCCAGTTCTAAGAGGAAAAGCTTTCAGCTTTACTCTATTCAGTAAAATATTTGCTGTGGGTTTATCATAGATAGCTTTGATCAGTTTGAGAAATGTGCCACGTATGCCTATACTCTTCAGTGTGCTAATTAGAAAAGGATGCTGAATTTTATTAAATGCTTTTTCTGCATCTATTGAGAAGATCATGTGGTCTTTGTTTTTGCTTCTGTTGATATGGTGAATAAGGTTTATGGACTTGTGTATGTTAAACCAGCCTTGCATCTCTGGGATGAAACCTACTTGATCATGATGTGTGACTTTTTTGATGAGAAGCTGTAATCTACTAGCTAGGATTTTGTTGAGAATTTTTGCATTTATATTCATTAGTGGAATTGGTCTGAAATTCTCCTTTTTAGCTGAGTCTTTTCCTGGTTTTGGTATCACAGTGATGTTTGCTTCATAGAATGTGTTGGGGAAGATTTCTTCCTCCTCAACTTTTTGGAATAATTTCTGCAGTATGGGAATAAACTCTTCTTTGAAGGTTTGAAAGAATTCTACTGTGAAGCCATTCAGATCAGGGCATTTTTTTTGTTGTTGTTGAAAGATTTATTATTGTTTCTTTGATCTCAGTGCTTTAAGTTGGTCCATTCAGGAGCTCTACTTCTTCCTGGCTAAGTCTAGGGAGAGGGTGTGATTCCAAATATTGATCTGTTCTCTTGACATTGTCAAATTTCTGGGCATAAAGTTTCTGGTAGTATCTGAGATGATCTCTTGTATCTCTGTGGCATCAGTTGTTATTTCCCTTTTATCATTTCTGATTCAGGTTACTAGAGATTTTACTTTTCTATTTCTAGTTAGTCTGGGCAAGGGTTTATCTATTTTATTTATTTTTTCAAAAAACCAGCTCCTTATTTCATTAATTTTCTGAATGATTCTTTTGTTTTCAATTTCATTAATTTCTGATTTAATTTTTAATATTTCTTTTCTTCTGCTGTGTTTAGACTTAGAGTCTTCTTCTTCTTTTTTATTTTTTTTATTTTGGGGGGGGGCGGAGCTGGGTTTGAACCCACCACCTCCAGCATATGAGGCCAGTTCCTTACTCCTTTGAGCCACAGGCGCTGCCCTAGATTATTCTTCTTTTTCCAATTCCATAAGATGACTTGTGAGTTTGCTGATGCACTCTTTCTGTTTTTCGAATGTAGGCATCTAAAATGATAAATTTTCCTCTCAGGACCGCTTTTGCTGTATCCCACAAGGTTTGTTAGCTTGTGTCTTCATTGTTGTTATGCCCAAGGAAGTTAATAATTTCCTCCTTTATTTCTTCCTGCACTCAACTTAGGTTGTTTAGTTTCCATGTCTTTGTGTGGGATTGAACATTTTGTTAGAGTTGAGTTCCAACTTTACTGCCTTGTCCTCAGAGAAGATAGATACAAGGTAAAATTTCAATTCTTTTGATTCTGTGGAGGTTTGTTTTGTGTCCTAGGATATAATCAATTTTGGAGAATGTTCCATGGGGCCATGAGAAGAATGTATATTCTTTATTTTGGGGATGGAGTGCTCTATATGGGTCTATCAAGCACTGTTGTTGTAGGGTCTCATTTAAGTCCCTTATATCTTTGTTTAATTTCTGTTTAGAGGATCTGTCCATTTCTGTAAGAGGAGTGTTAAAGTCCCCTGTTATTATGGTGCTACTGTATATCATATTGCTCAGAGTGAGTAAGGTCTGTTTCAAGAATCTGGGAGCATTTAAGTTGGGTGCATACATATTTAGAATTGTAATGTCTTGTACTTTTGACCAATATGAAGTAACCATCTTTGTCTTTTTTGACTTTAGTTGCTTTAAATCCACATGTATCTGAAAATAAGATTGCAACTCCTCTTTTCTTTTGAATTTCGTTTACCTGAGAAATTGCATTCCAACCCTTAACTTGGAGTTTTAATTTGTCTTTTGAAGCTAGGTGTGTTTCCTGCAGACAGCAAATGGACAGCTTCTGTTTTTTAATCCTCAGTCAATCTATGCCT